TTAAAGGAAGTCCTTTAGTTTGAGAACAAACAACATCAGACCACAGCCTGAATCTAGGACGCAAGATCACACCAGCCAGATACAGACCTAGGAAATGAACTCTCAAGGACTATTCAAAATCAAAAGATTTACAGCAAGGAACCAAGGAGGTTAATTGTAAATGATAACAATGTCAGGACAATAAAAGAGGGAATAAATATAATGATTAAAATGACAATTCATCATGATGATATAACCATAAGAAATATCTATGCACCCAATGACAGGGCTCCAAAATACATAAAACAAACTCTAACAGTACTGAAAAGGGAAACTGACAGTTCCACAATAATAGTCAGAGACTTCAACACAGCACTCTTGGTAAAGGACAGAACATCTAGAAAGAAAATTAACAAAGATACAGAAGATCTAAAGGGCACAATCAGCCTACTTGACCTCATAGACATATATCGAACACTCTACTCAACAGCTGCAAAGTATACATTCTTTTCCAATGAACATGAATCAGTCTCCAGAACAGACCACATCTTAAGCCACAGAGAAACCCTCAACAAAATCCAAAACATTTAGACAATACAAAGTTATTGTCTCTGACCACAATGCCTTTGAGGTAGAAATTAACAACAGAAAGATCAAGGGAAAAAAATCCATTACATGGAATCTGAATTACACCCTACTTAAAAACAACTGGGTAATAGAAGAAATCAGAGATAGAATAAAAAAATTCCTAGAATCAAATGAGAATGAAAACACATCATATCAAAATCTTTGGGACACAGCAAAGCAGTGCTCAGAGGTCAATTTATAGCAATAGATGCAAACATCAAAAAAGAAGAAAGGGACAAAATCAAAACATTAGCTACACAACTTGAAGAAATAGAAAGAGAACAGCAAAAGAAGCCCACAGCCATCAGAAGAATGGAAATAATAAAGATCAGAGCAGAAATAAATGAAACAGAAATTAGAAAAACTATAGAAAGAATTAACAAAACCAGAAGTTGGTTCTTTGAAAGGATCAACAAAATCAACAACTACTGGCCAAACTGACAAAGGAAAAACAGGAGAGGACACAAATAACCCAAATAACAAATGAAATGGCGGACATTACAACAGACCCAACTGAAAAAAAAAAAAAAAATCATAATAGAGTATCATGAAAAACTATACTCCAACAAATTTGAAAACCTACAGTGAAATTTCAGGAAACACACTACCTACCCAAACTAACTCAAAGTGATGTTGAAAATCTAAACCAACCCATAACAACAGAAGAGATTGAAAAGGTAATAAAAAAACTTCCAACAAAAAACAGCCCTGACCGAGATGGCTTCACTGGAGAATTCTACCAATCGTTCATAGAAGAGCTTACACCAGTACTACTCAAACCATTTCAGAACCTAGAAAAAGAAGGGATACTTCCGAATTCATTCTATGAAGCCAGCATAACCCTGATACCAAAACCAGGCAAAGATACCACAAAAAAAAAAAAAAAAGGAAATTACAGACCAATATCTCTCATGAATGTAGATTTTAAAATTCTCAACAAAATTCTAGCCAATTGAATTCAGCATCATATCAAAAAAATAATACACCATGACCAAGGAGGATTCATACCAGGTATGCAAGGATGGTTCAACATTACAAAATCAATCAATGTAATCCACCACATAAATAAAAGGAAAGAAAAAAATCACATAATCATCTAAGTCAATGCAGAAATGGCATTTGACAAAAATCCAACACCCATTCCTGATAAAAACTCTCAATAAAATAGGTATAGAAGGGAAACTTCTCAACATAATAAAGGACATTTATACAAAACCAAGAGCCAACATCATTCTTAATGGAGAGATACTGAAAACATTCCCCTTGAAAACAGGAACTATAAGGATGTCCTTTATCACTGCCCTATTTAACATTGTGCTGGAAGTCCTAGCTACAGCAATAAGGCAAGAAAAAGAAATAAAGGGTATCCAAACTGATAATGAAGAAGTACATCTGTCCCCATGGTACTATACATAGAAAACCCAAAAGACTCCACAAGAAAACTACTGGAACTAATAGAAAGACTCAGCAGAGAAGCAGGATACAAGATAAACATAAAAAAATCAGTTGGATTCCTACATACCAAGAAAGAGAATAATGAAACAGAAATCAGGAAAACAATACCATTAATAATAGCCCCTAAAAAGATAAAATACTTAGGAATAAATCTAACCAGAGATGTAAAAGAACTATAAAAAAAAAACTACAAAACACTACTGCAAGAAACCCAAAGGGAGTTACATAAATGGAAAAACATACCATGCTCATGGAAAGGTAGACTCAACATTGTGAAAATGACAATTCTACCCAAAGCAATTTACAAATACAATGCAATCCTGATCCAAATACCAACAACACTCTTTAAAGAGATGGAAAAAAAAAAATCATTAACTTTATTTGGAAAGGGAAGAAGCCCCAGATAAGTAAAACACTAATGAAGAAGAAGAATAAAGTAGGAGGACTTGCACTATCTGACCTCAGAACTTACTATACTGCTACAGTAGTCAAAACAGCCTGGTACTGGTACAATGACAGATGTATTGACTGATGGAACAGAATTGAGAACCCAGATGTAAATCCATCCACCTAGGGTCACCTGATCTTCAGCAAGGGCCCAAAGTCCATCAAATGGGGAACAGACTGTCTTTTTAACAAATGGTTGTGGCAAAAGTAGATGTCCATCTGCAAAAAAATGACAGTAGCCATACTTCACACCATACACAAACACTAATTCAAAATGGATTAAAGACCTAAATATAAATCCAAAAACTATAAAGATCATAGAAATAAAAATAGGATCAACGCTAGAGGTCCTAATTCACGGCATTAACAGGATACAAACTATAACTAACAACATACAAACTCCAGAAGATAAGCTAGATAACTGGGATCTTTCAAAAATTAAACATTTATGCTCATCAAAAGACTTCACCAAAAGAGTAAGAAGAGAATCTACAGACTGGGAAAAATTTTTTGGCTATTACAAATAAAACGGAAGTCTAATCTCTAAAATCTACAGGAAAATCCAACACTTCTACAACAAAAAGACAAATAATCCAATTAAAAAATGGTCAAAGGAAATGAACAGACACTTCACCAAAGAAGACATTAAAGTGGCTAACAGACACATGAGGAAATGCTTGTGATCACTAGCCATTAGAGAAATGCAAATCAAAACCACAATGAGATACCATCTCACCCAGGCATTGCTGGCACAAATCAAAAAAACAGAAAGAAACAAATGTTGGAGAGACTGTGGAGAGATCGGAACTCTTATGCTCTGCTGGTGGGAATGCAAAATGATACAACCATTTTGGAAAATGATACGGTGCTTCTTTAGAAAGCTAGAAATAGAAATACAATATGATCCAGCAATCCTACTCCTAGGTATATCCTAGAGAAATAGACATACACACATCCATGTTCACTGCAGCATTGTTCACAATAGCAAAAGATGGAAACAACCTAGATGCTCATCAACAGATGAATGGATAAACAAACTAGGGTACATACACACAATGGAGTATTAAGCAACAATAAAGAACAATAATGAATCTTTGAAGCATCTCACAACATGGATGAATCTGGAGGGCATTATGCTGAGTGAAATAAGTCAGTCACAAAAGGACAATTATTGTATGAGACCACTGCTATAAAAATTCATGAAAAGGTTTACACACAAAAGGAAACAATCTTTGATGGTTACAAGGGAGAGGAGGGATGAGGATGGAAAAAAACTAAATAGACAATAGATAAATGGTAACTTTGGTGAAGGGTAAGACAGTACACAATACTAGGGAAGCTAGCACATCTTGTACAAGGAAATGTCATGGAAGCTCCATAGACACATCCAAACTCCCTGAGGAACTGAATCGCTGGGCTGAGAGCTGTGGGGACCATGGTCTCAGGGAACATCTAGCTCAATTGGCATAACATAGTTTATAAAGAAAATGTTCTATATTCTGCTTGGGTGAATAGCGTCTGGGGTCTTAAAAGATTGTGAGCATTCATCTAAGATACTCCACTGCTCCCACCCCATCTGGAGCAAGGGAGAATGAAGAAAACCAAAGACACAGGGAAAGATTAGTCCAAGGGACTAATGGACCACAACCACCACAGCCTCCACTAGACTGAGTCCAGTACAAGTAGATGGTGCCTGGCTACCATCACGGACTGCACTGACAAGGATCACAATAAAGAGTCCTTGACAGAGCTGGAGAAAAATATAGGACAAAATTCTAACTCACAAAAAAAGACTAGACTGGCTGGCCAGACAGAGATTAGAGAAACCCCGAGAGTATGGTGCCCAGAAACCCTTTTAGCTCAGTAATGAAGTCACTCCTGAGGTTCACCCTTCAGTCAAAGATTAGACAGGCCCAGAAAACAAAACAAGACTAAAAGGGCACACTAGTCCAGAGGCAAGGACTAGAAGGTAGGAGGGGACAGGAAAGCTGGTAATAGGGAACCCAAGATGGAGAAGCTAGAGTGTCGACATGTTGTGGGTTGTTAACTAATGTCATAAAACAGTATGTGTACTGTTTAATGAGAAGCTAGTTTGTTCTGTAAACCTTTATCTAAAGTACAATTTAAAAAAAAAAAAAAAACTCAGTGGAGTTACAGAGACTCATGGCCTGGTATGTGTTTTCTGACTTGTGTAATTTTATAAAGTATCTTTTCTACTTGTATCCCATAAGACTTGTCACACAACACAGATATTTTATCCTTAACAGCAGTTTTGTCTATATGATTAGTGAATTATTTTCTTGAGATATATTTGGGCTCAAAAAGCTCTCATGTAGAGAGAAACGTGCATTACTATGTGGTGGCATGAATATGTGCTTTTCCTCGTTCACATACAAATGCAAACAGAACTACTGACAAACCCACAGAACATCACATCTTCACCATACACACTGATCCACAGAGAGACATACTTTGGGGCAAAGGTAACTCACGGTTCCCGGTGACAATGATTCCCTGTCTCAGGGTCTTGGTCTTTGCGTGGGTGAAGATATAGGAACAGAAGTTCTTTGCTTGCATCTGGAAATTACAATCCAGCTGCTCTTCTGGCAGTTCTTCAACATGGGCTAAGAGATTTTTGTCACTTGTAGGCCGGTCAAAGACAAAGCACCTCCGTTTTGGGAAGAAATGCCTGATACACTCTCTAGGCAAGTTGGAATTTTGGATTTTAGGATTCCTGCCTGCCAAATTAAAAAAAGAGCAATCATTGAAGGGGCAGCCTTCAGGAAAGACATCTATCGACATTTATTTCCAGGGATCTTTGCATTAGTGCACGGTCTGTCTTTAAATCTCCTTTTATCCAATCATGCAAATCAACCTTGAACCAATCTACCCAAAGTAAAAAAAAAAAAATCCATTTGTGGACAGAGCAAAGATCAAGGAAGCAGTTCTGGAGAGGAAATGGCAACATCTATCCCAAGTGAACAGACTTACGTTCGGTTTCCTCAGTCTGTGTATGGAGTTTAGTAGAGCAAGTATTTAATAAATGGTTATTGAATGACTGACACATAAAAAGAACTGATCAGAAGTACTTTTCTGATCTTACTGCCCTTGTGTCAGAAATAAAATGCAGGCTCAGAAACAAAGTAATGCTTGATATAAGGATAAGATGATGCTGGGAAAATATTATGGGGAGTGGTGATACCCAGGTCAGTAAAGAAAAAGTTAAAATCAGAGACCCAAAATACACGCACCATAAATAATTTGAGGGATTCTTTTAGCAAAAGCCTTCAACAAGTAGGGTTAACCTAAATGTAATTTGGAGACCTTACAACTTCTCTACATCACATTATATTGAACTTTACCACATCTTGCGGAGAGACTCTGTGGCAGATAGCAGCTGTTTAATAAGTGTTTGTTGAAGAAATGAATAAATGAAAATGGATATTCCTTCTGATACTATCAGTTAGCCACCCTCCTAAATATAATCTGTGTAACAAGTTCGTAATAATAAAATGATAACTTATTATGTAAGGATGTACAACGATGTGTGTGATATTATGAAAAACATAAAATAAAGGATTTGACAGTCTTTCTGAAAAGATATCTCAATTTTTTTCTGACTCTAGTATACAGTAAAGCCTGCAAAAGCCAGAACCTGTGTAAGGTGGAAACCTGTGAGAGAAGGAAAACGTAAATAGTTTCCACTAAAATGAGCGATAGAAAAGTGGTAAGACTGCACCTTGTCAAAGGCAGAAAACTTGCAAGTCCCAGCAAAAAAAAGGCAGTCTCACCACATTCCGGCTCTCACAGGTTTCACTGCATAAATATCTTTTTCTAAGGGATGTAATCAAGGCTAGTAAAATATGTTGTTGTTGTTGTTGTGTGCCAATGAATTGATTTAGACTCATAGCGATCCCACGTGACAGAGTAGAACCGCCCCCTGCGCCACCAGGGATCCTTTAGTAAAATATACCACGTGAAACATATTACAAAAATTAAGTCATTTTATTTCATTGTGATTCTGTGTTCAACAACTTCCAATTTCATGAACTCTTTTTCTCAAAACAGGAGGAGCACTAAATAAGGAACACAGGTATATGGGCCTTAAGAAGTTATAGCACTGATTGTAATCTGAAAAAATTTTTTCATGGTACCAATTGCTGTGAAATCATTTGGTCCAACGTTGGGCCCTAAATTTCCTCAGTGATCTTAAACTCAAGCCACTGGATAGTTTCAGGTAATAATAACCCATTAAAATCATATCCTCCTCTCAATCACCATTTTCCTGGGCCTCAATCCAGTCTCAAATATATATTGACTTCAAATGCTGATTGACGCGGCTTACTTGATATGTGTCATCCCCTACTGAACCTCCCCTCGCCGAGCCATGCACTGATACCTGGAATCAACTTCAAGGCATTCTCCAGGTACTCATCTTCGGTGATAGGGCATTCACCTAACTTCAACTCCAGGCTGAAATCCCGAACAGCCCAAACAAAGTCTGGAAAGAAACTCACAAACTCAGTGGAATCCTCTACTTCATCAGATCTGGAGGAGGATTTTGCCCTGATTAGCTCCGTTAGTTCAGTCACATAGCTGGGAACTTAGCTAAGGAAGAAGAAGCACTCAACACCACATTTCCCAGATCTCACTTTGAAATAAATTTTATAGACATTCTATTTTGCCCTGTGTTCCCTCCTCCTCACTCATGAAAACTGAGTCACAAGAAAAAAGAAATAGTCTCAGTTGCCATTCCCATAAGTTCAATAAACATGGTGATTGGGTTCCAAGAAGGATACTGTAGCTGCTCCAGAGCCTGGTGGTTGATGGTGGACATGCTGTTGTACACAAAGGTGCTGCTCAGAAGCACAGCCAGTGCAAAGATCCATGAGTCATTCTTAGGGTCAGCCTAAAAAGCACATTAGACCAAGAGACATGGGAGTCTACTCTTCATTCATTCAGTCATTTGATTTGTGCATTCACTACTTCAGCTGTTCAATAGCTGAATAGGGAAGATAACCTATGTTTTAAAAACCATGTTAAATTCAAACCTCATAGTTTGTATTTACATTGATCCCTCTCGGGGCTTCAGTTTCTTTAGTTTTTAAACTAAGTGAATGACACTGTCAATGTGTTTAAAATGTTTAATACATAGCTTAGATCACAGTAGGTGCTCAGTAAAAGGTAGACAATTATAACTTCAGTAATTTTTTTTCTTGACCGAGGACTATATTAAGGACACAAATGCTACGGCATTAAATTAAATAGCTATTCATTGGACATCCATAAACTGTGGACACTTTGGTTGTATGAGTACAAAGTTCTATATGGCTGTTCCTAACCTCAGAAAGATGACTTTCTGATGAGGCAGATAAACATGTAAACATATAAATGCAACCAAGATTATAATCTCTGTCAGGAGTGGCCCAATAGTTACAATGCAAAAGAAAAAGGGATAAGGCCAATAAACAGGAACAAGGACTCTGTGGATTCACAGCAAGAAACGACTACACCCTCTCCTCACTTAGTGACATGGTTAGGTTCCAAAGATCAAGTAATTATGCAAAACCGGTGTCATGCAGTAATGGAAGATGACCACATCAGATCACAACATGGAGGATGACAATATTATTACACAACTGCCAAACTACTGAGAATCGTGGCCCTGCCAAGCTAACACATGAGCTTAACCACCACAGCCACCGTTACTCTCTCCTTGCACCTCGGTGTTCGTTACTGCCAGATGTACATCCTCAATGTGCAAAATAATCAGATAGTAGATTTTTTACTATTGTCGTAAACGCAAAATGTCAGATAACAAGATAGCCTATAAGTGAGGCGAAGGTGTACATCTGACTGGGATAGGATGTCAATAGATTGAAAATAACTAGTCTTTTAAGAATTGATAGAATATGAACTTGTGGAGGTAAATGGATCATACAGGTGCCAAAGCCAACACAAATCAAGCCAGAAATGTTAGAAAGCATGGGTCATTTAGAGGTAGTCTAGAGTTATTCCATTTGACTGAAGCAGGGGAGAGACGTGCAGGAGTGGAAGCTGAGCCTGGAAACAAGATTCAGGGTAAACTTTCCCCATATTTGTTGGTGTTGTTGTTGGCAGTAATGACAACCAATGATCTACTGCTGCTACTTTCAATTTAGACTCACAGAATGAATAAGGAGAAATTAAATAAGGAGAAATGACTCATTGAATATAATATTATAGAGAAAAACTACCTAAAATCATCCTATTTACAATGTTTTCAGTGAATCCAGCTCACGGTTTTATAGAGAAGCTAGTGGAGAATTAATCTCCAAAGCCCAGAGGCTTGGACCAAAATCTTTATGAATATTCCTTATGTAGCTGAAGCTTTTCGAAGGTTATTTAAATAGATTACTTCACGGAAACCCTAATCTCATGGTTCCTACCTCCAACCTCATCAGCTCCACACTCTTTAACTGGTAGCTCCCATTGATCTCCTGGGTCATAGCTTCCTCTAACCCATAGGTCTGGGTTAGGTGCTCACTTCCGTGCATTCATGACAACTGATACTGATCACACTTTGTACATGTTGAGTCCCCAACTAAGCTCTGGGCCTTTGCCTTACTCACTCTGTATCTAGAACGTTTAGCACAAAGCCCTGAAATTCAAAGGCTCATAAAGAATTTATTAACATTTTTATTCATCCCAGTGTTAAACAGAAGAAGATCTATCCCTAATATACCAACAGTATTTGAGCTTACAAAGGAAGTAAGTTCAATGAAACAAAATTTAACCTAATTATCCCTAATTTTGTTATAAGAATATGTCACAAAAGTTGAATGAATGTGGCAAATTAAAAGCTAAGTAGAGAAAAAAGAGCAAAGACGACTTCTGCATGACTCTGTGTCTTACCTTTTCCACATCGCCCAGGCCCTCAGTGTCCAGAAGGACCAGGATGTGCCTGGGTTTGGAGGGGTGAGGTACACACCACATCCAGATGCCCTTGGTTTCAGACCTCACTGTGGAGCCCAGACGGAAGCCTGCAAGGAAGAAAGGAAAGCAACATCAGTGATAGCAGATAGTCCAGGCTGTCCAGGAGCTACAGTGGTTAATTAAAATTGTAGTATGGCAAGTTCCTGGCAGGGAGAGGAGTTGCTTTCATTGCAGCAAGGAAAGCCAATTAAACTATTATATATATGAAGTTCCTTCTCAAGAAACACTTTGTGTCCCCTGCTTACCTTATTCCTTTAAAGACTCAAACTACATCATATTACATAATTAATGGAAACTCTACTAAACTCTGAGGAGCCCTGGTAGTGCAGTTGTTAAGTACTAGCTGCTAATTGAAAGGTTGAAGGTTCAAAACCACTAGCTGCTCCACAGGAGAAAGATGTGGCAGTCTGCTTCTGTAAAGGTTACAGCCTTAGAATCCCTATGGGGTAGTTCTCCTCTGTCCTATAGGGTCTCTATGAGTCAGAGTCGACTCGACTGCAAAGAGTTTGGTTTAGTTCTATTAATCCAAGTATTTTAATCTGATGCTCAAGAGGAAAGAAAAAACACGAAATTTATGAGTGGAATTAGAGAGAGGGCTGAGAGGAGAGCTCTGTTTCTGGATTATCATTCTGCAGAGCTTCCTTTTCCTTATCTGAATCTCATGTTAAGAGAAAACATTCTGACTGGAGGAGACCCTGACATGGGAACGGACAGCAGTGAGCAGTTTCTTGAATTCAGTTCTGCTGACACAGGCTTCCAGTGCAGAGCAGTGAGAACCGAGCCTGAAATATAGTTGAGGAATCTGTGATTTGGGAACCTGAATGCATAATTAAGGAGATCTGATTGATTAGACAATGGGAATCAATTAAGTGTTTGAGATGGATGATAAAAAAATCAAGAATTTAGGAAAATCAGTGTGGTATTACAATAGAGGAGTAACTAAGAATTGAGATCCTGGGAACATTAGGAGGTTTCTAAAATTTTAAAGCTGGGAAAAAGTCAAGTGATAATTTTGTCCAACTCACTCATTTTGTGAATGATGAAACTGAAACCCAGAATTGTCACTGGTTAGTACAGCTACTTAGACATACAGCCTGAAATTAACACAGGCCCCCTGACTCCCAGCCTGTTTCTCTGTGGGCTACACTGACCCTTACACAGATCAACAGTCTGATGTAATGAGGTGGCCAACTAGGGTGAAAGTAGTAGAAAAATGAAAAAAAGGATTTTATAAATCTAGAGAAGAAAAGGACGAGACAGGAAGTGAAGAAGGAGGAGTCAGAGCATGCCAAGGTTTCATAACTTGGTGAGAAAGTATTATAATTTCCAGCACGGCAGATAAGATTTTGATATACTAGTTGTCTTTGTTCACCTCCCTTTTCCCCCTGTAAGATTAACTCTTTTCTGCTCTGACTGGTGCCCCAAGACATGGACCTTTATGTCCTCTATCATGAGGGGTCCCTTGGCCTCTGATTTCTGGTAGAGTTCAACCAATGGGAGATACTGCAGGAGAGCAGAAAGCAGGCACGTGCTCCCTCACCTCCCACCCTGCTGGGCCACAGTATTCCAGTGGCTCTGTTCCTCTACCTCAGGTCACAGCTCCTTTCACTCAGCCTCCTCCAATAACTCTGATCCTGTCACATTCTCTATCCACTCTCTGCTTGCCTCTTCAGGCCTAGAGATGATAATGGCTACACTGCTATTGCTATTACCACTGTCTAGGTGCTTCGCCATCCCTCGTTGGTTCCCATTGCCCTGTCTATGCCCTTGTAAGTGGTCTCTCCATTAAATGCTCTTCGTTACCCCTTGAGTGAGTCATCTATTGGATTTGCTCTTCCCCATTTTCCCTGTATTTTCCTCTCCCCTCTTCAAGAAAATGATGAGTTCTGTTTCCATTGCTTTAGGAAGGGGATATAACAGAGCGGAAAGCATACAAGACCTTTGAGACTTGCCAGATTTTCTTTCCAATGGTTTAAACCCACAGGGAGATTAGATTTGAGGGCTATGCCCAGGAACCTGTGGATGATATATCCTGTTAAAAAGTCCAAAATTTTGACCGTATGCTATATGCAATGCTGCCTTCAACTGAGACTAGAAATGGTCGTGATAAAATACCTAGGGGAGCATAGTTTAGCATGGCTCAGGCCATTCAATTCTCCCACCCTGTGCTTCCTCCAAGGAGTGAATATAAAACCATGGACTGGTCTGCACTCTTCTAAACTCATTTCCCGTTGCCCTCGAGTGGATTCTGACTCATAGCAACCCGATAGGACACAGTAGAACTGCCCCATAAATCTCAGAAGCAGATTGGCACATCTTTCTCCTACTGAATGGCTGATGGGTTCAAACCACCCACCTTTTGGTTAGCAGCCAAGTGCTTAACCACCAGGGCTCCTTTGCACTCTTCTACATCACGATATTTTTTCATATTTGCTAATTAATAAAGTAAGCCCAACTCCCCGACCCCAATGAGGAAGGGCAAAGTGTAATCGAAGGTCATCACTCTTAGTCATCAGAGGTATAAAAAAAAACAAAACAAGTTACTGCCAAGAACTTGTTTGGTCTTGCTCATGGACCTTGACTGGGAGTGAATCTCTTTCTTTCTGTTCTTCCTATGATATAGGTGGAGTGGTAGAGTCACAAATCAGAAATTTTAAAACATCCTGAGGTCAGGGACTTTCTCAGCATAGTGCTGGGAAATCACCTGGTTATTACTTGATGTTATCTTGAGCAGAAAATAAAAAGAAGTTGTTGAAATCTGTCTCCTGAGGTTCTGAACTGTAATCTATCAAAAAAAATCCCTATAAATTTATTCCGGTCAGGCAAGGGAAATTGTTCCCCCTTCCTTATTGATGGTTGAGAACTCCTCTAAAATAAAAATAAAGACAAAACGTTTGCTTAGAAGCCAAGGGGGAGATTGGGAAACAAGAAGCGGAAATGGAGACATGAAAGAAGGAGACAGGGAAAATGAGAGGAACAAACAGAGATAAGGAGAAAGGGAGGGAGCAGGGAGGGAAAGAGGGAGGTAGGGAGAAACAGAGAGACAAAGACAGGGCTTGAGAGATAAGCATGGTGCTCCTGAGAGTTTAGTGGGCTGAGTTTCAATCTCTAGTGGTGCTAAGAGGAAGAAGCAAGGTATCAGGAAAAAAAAAAAATGGCTGAAAGGTCTCAATGGACAGATCATGGGCAATTCTCTGAAAATCAATAAAAACCAAAGGAAACAATCCAAGAGGAAAAAAAAGACTCCACAAAATAAGAAATATAAATGGCAAAGACAATTTGAAAGGGTGCTGAACCTCCCTTATAGTGAGGTAAACTGGCGCAAACACCTAAGTGCTAGGCTGCTAACCAAAACATTGGCAGTTTGAGTCCACCCAGAGGTGCCTTGGAATAAAGAGTTGGCAATTTACCTCCAAAAGATCAGCCACTGAAAACCCTGTGGAGCACAATTCTACTCTGGCACACATGGGATTGCCATGAGTTGGAACTGACAGGACAGTAACTGCTTTAGTTTTTGGCTTTATACAGTAACCAGATCAGCAACAGTTAAAAAGTCCTAAAGTAGTAAATTTTTGTAAAGTTGTAAAGAATTCTCAATTACAACTAATAAGGATGTAAACTGCTATAAAGTTTGAAGATCTTTTTGATAACTATCTGTAACAACTGAAGACACACATATCCTGTGATCCATCAAACCCACTTCCAGGAATTTGTACACAGGTGGTTTGTGTACATGAGCAACAGTTACAAGTAGAAAAAAACCCATGACAACCTTGTTCATAAAAGATAAAAACTGAATATAAAACAAATGTTCATCCGCAATGAATAGATAAATTGTGGTATCTTCATACAATGGCATACTATAATTTAGTAGAAATAAATAAAATACAGATACATACAATAAACTAAATGAGTCTGATAAACTTCTTGATGAGCCAAAAAGCAAGACACAAAAGAATTCATACAACATATTTTCATTTAAATAAGGTTTACAAGCAAGTCAAACTAAACTGCTTTTTTGGAATTGTACACATAGATTGTAAAACCATCTTTAAAACTCAAGAGAAGAAGTGCCATGAAAACTAAAATATTGGTGATTACTAGTGAGGGTGTGAGAGGGTACAAGATTTGGGCTTTTGCATATTGGGAAGGTTTTATTTCTTGACCTGAGCAGTGATTACACAGGTGTTCACTTATATTTATTAATTTTATTGTGCATTTACGTGTTATGCACTTTAATATATGTGTTATATTTCACATACTAGAAAAGACTAAACAGAGTAAGAGGGTATAATTATCAAAGTTGCTATGAAATGGAGCAAAAAAAAAAAAATCAGATGCTAGCTCCATTGAGATATTAGATATACAGGGATTCTGCTTCTCTTTCTGTCTCCTACATCACATGCACAAGTAATGTAGGAGAAAGAAAGAGAATCATTGCCAGAGCTGAGTTCCTGGGTAGGTGAGAGTGGAGGGATCCAGAGAACTGGTGGGGTGGATCTTTGGATATGGTTGAAAGAATTCTTCTTTATTACTAGAGAAAAGAGCTCTTCTTTTTTTTACATATTTTGTGGATAGGTAAGTCTGAAGTTGTAAACTTAGTGATGAGAATTAGAAGTTATGTGCTTTTTTGTTTTTCCATTGGAAAGAGGCCTGCTCTTTCTTAATAACACCCTAGAGGAGGCATGATCAGTCTGCGTTATCACTGGTCCCTGCCCCATGACAACACTCACCGTGGTTCTGTCCTGCCAGACGGTTCATCAGGTAGGATTTTCCTGTACGATACAGACCTACAACGGCTACCACCACAACAGGCTGATAAATTTCATTAAGAATCTTTAATGCTTTTGGATTCACTGTCAGCTGCTCTTTCTGGTTTTCCACCAAACAAATGGGAGCCGTCATGATGGGTCTGGAAGCCATGGTAACCTGAAATCCAGAAGAGACTCTCAGTAGAATGCAAGACCTACTATCATATCTAGTACTTATTGAAGGTATGTGCATATCAGCTTCCTGCTTGTGGAATGTGTATATCAACTTCCTATATTTTGTAAGGAAAGTATGCAGCCTTCTGTTATGGATTGAACTGTGTCCCCCCAAAATGTGTGTCAACTTAGCTTGGCCATGATTCCCAGTATTGTGATTTTCCACCATTTTGTCATCTGATGTGATTTTCCTGTGTGTTGTAAATCCTACCTCTATCATGTTCATGAGGTGAGATTACCAGCAGTTATGTTGATGAGGCAGGATTCAATCAACAAGACTGGGTTATGTCTTAAGTCAATCTCTTTTTAGATATAAAAGAGAGAAGCAAGCAGAGAGACACGGGGACATTATACCACCAAGAAAGTAGTGCCAAGAGAAGAGTGTGTTCTTTGAACAAGGGATCCCTGCACTCAGAAGCTCTAGTCCAGGTGAAGATTGATGATAAGGACCTTCCTACAGAGCCCACAGAGAGAGAAAGCCTTCCCCTGGAGCTGACACCCTGAATTTGGACTTCAAGCCTACTAGACTAATGAGAGAATAAACTTACCTTTGTTAAAGCCATCCATTTGAGGTATTTCTGTTATAGCAGAACTAGATAACCAAGACACCTTCCATTTCAAAGCCTGGTATAGATGCCTTACATACATTACCTTATTGATCCTTATAAGAGCTCTAAAAGAACCTTCCTTGCCCAGGTGATGCATAAAATGAATAGAAAAGAAAAGGAAACTACAGACTATAAGTCCCTGAGAACATTAACAAGTGATGGATAAATATAGGCAGAGTGGGACATGAATGAGAGAAGTAGTGGTCAAAAAAGATTCCAGAAGTTCCCAGAGAACTTGGTCTCTCATTAGTTCAACAACTACATATTGAGTACCTACCATGTGCCAGGGCACTGTTCTAGAGCTCAGTATTCAGCTGTGAACAAGATGGATACCAATTCCTCCTCATGCAAGCTCTATTCCAGTGAGGGAGACAGACAATAAATAAAACAAATGAGCAAAAATATATACGTGTGTAAGTACTCTGGAGAAAAATACACAGGGACTAGGGAAAAGGAGTGTTGGGGTTGCATTTGTATGTGGGGTAATCAGGAAAGGCCTCCCCGAGAGACAAATGGAGATGATCACTGAACTTGATGAGGATAGATTTAGTGAATGGGGAGGAGCAGGAGGCAGAGCAGATGGAGGAATGATCCTGAGAGGAGGAAGGAGAGATAAAGAATGTAGCTCTCTCTCAGAATGGAAAGGAAAGCCCTTTATAGTGTGTAGACAAAGATATTGGTCCAGGAATTAGTTTATTTAACTATTTATAGGCTGACAGGGAAGAGAGCCAGTAGCCAGGATATTTGAGAATCTGTCCAGATCTGACAGAGTTCCCACATCTGGGTGAGGTCCCTCTTTGTCTTCCTCAAAATTAGTGGAGAGTTTCTGACTCCAAGAAACTGAGACCAGGAGCTTTGACTTTCCCTTTATTCTCTTATCTAAGACATCGCTAAGCAACATTCCTGTGTTCCTATATTTTAGTAGCTGTATGACCATAGAAAGATACTTGATTTTCTGTGCCTTGGTTTCTTCTCTTTTAAAATGAAAAGACTAATATTAACTATTTCCTAGAGTAGATTTCAAATATCTCATACTATTTATAATGCACTTAAAATCATGCCTGGTACATAGTAAATGCTGTATGAGAACTGCTTAAACACTTTGAGTGTCTAACAAGGTAGGATTTAAGTGTCTATGAAGGTGAGGATTGGGTATGGACAGAAACAGTGGCAGTTCTTTCCCCTGCAAGCCAGGGGAAGGTGTGTCCCCTAGAAGGATGGGCAGGCTGGAGTAGACTCAGTGGAAGGGCCAACAAGGAGGGCACCATGGAGGATGTCAGGCAAGAGGAGCCCAGAGCAGTCCTAAGGGGTTAGAGCAGAGATTCTGGAGTCAGTCTGCCTGAGTTCAAACCCTAGCATAATTATTGCCTGTGAGACCTTTAGAAAGGAACTTACCTCTCTAAGCCTCATTTTTCTTAACAGTATTATGGGTAGAATAATAATTCCTGCTTGATTTATTTCTGTTCAAGCTAACAACATATAGGCTCTCAAATTATTTTTAATTTTCCAGGAATCAAGTACTGTTTATACAATAAGCAAGTTAGGGCATGCAGTAAAACATGTCAATATGTGATGTAATTTGCAAGTTACCAAAAAATACTAAGGTAACTGAATCATTTTCATCAGAAAAATCAACAATTTGGTTCTTAACATTCTTCCACCATACTATTTCTCTTCTTTTTTCCATAGGTGGTGGGTAACAGAGTTGGACTAGAAAAACACGAGCTTTCTACTGTTATGTTATAAGCAGACACAATCGTATAGTTTATTCCTTAGATTTAATATTTTAAAAATTTGGGGAGGATTAGATGAGTTTACAAAGTGTTTTCTGTTTTGTTGTTCTTTTTTAATGCAAAACACAGGAGCTCTTAATTCCAAAACAAACAGATTGAGGTAGTTCAATTAGATTGGGTAGACCATCAATGGCTTCCAAAAATTACTGTTCATAAAAATCATATGCAGTGATGGTTAAAAATGCCCAGGAACCTGTATTGTCAGTAAGTATCACAGGTTAATCTGATGCCATTAATGAATGGACCACCAGCATTTAGAAACAGTGTGTGATTAACAGGCTTAGACCTCATAGTTATTTTTAATAGTTGATTAGCGAGAGGGAGGATGAATTATCACATATAAATACAGCTTCACAGAATCATTGGAATATTAAATGTGCTCCATACCAAAATAAGCAAGAAACAATCTTCTGGGATTTAAATTGTAAGATAAGGACCATCTCTTTTCTTTGTGTCTCCAGTGCTGGGAAAGGGGCAGTCTGCAAAAGTCTGAGGGAGGGAGGAGAGAGACAGGAGAAAGCGATCCCACAGCAGTGTCTCCGCAAGGGCGCTGGAATTTGGTCTCTCATCTGACAAAGGACTTCAGTCCCTCTAGGACCCTGGGTGGAAGTCCCAGGAGGAGCAGCGCACACTGGAGACGTGGTGCGCACGCTGTCGCCTCACAGCTGCCTCTGGTCCAAACTGAGATGCTGAGCTGCCAGTAGCAAAGCTCGCTCTAGGGCCATACAATGTCAGACCACGGCGCCTCCTCCCGCTGCCAGGCGGCCACTGGCCAGTGTGGAGTCTGTGCTTGGGAATTGCTGTTGCTATTGCTGTTGTTAGTTAACGGAAATGTGCATAGAAGACAAAGTTTTTGGGAAGAACTTACCTGGCGCAGTCGCTGGGAACCAGGGACAATATTTCAGCTGCCCTCGCTAAAGTCTTGTGGCCTCCTCCTATGGGTGACTTCTTGGAAAGACAGATTGTTCTTTTTAGAAGCTGAAAAGCAAGCCGATTGTTACAGCCATCAAGTTAAGTAAGGGTCAGAATGAGAACGGAAACCGAAACTACGCGCCCTTTCTGTGGAGTTAACAGTGATTTACTGAGTCAAGAGGCTAGCATGTGTGGGTGTGGCTAGTGGAAAGTCTGCGGTGGTTGCTCCACATCCGCCTTCTGAAAGCCAGCCTCCTCCCTCTTTCACAGTTAATTAGAGGTCCTTGGTTCCTACAGTTAATATACGACACCAGGCGTGAATGTTAACAAAGTGACAGTAAGATGAGAATATTTCAAAAGCCGGTCTCTTCGGGGTATTTTGTCAGGGAAGAGAATTGTTTTCTTGTTTTATGTTTTTTTTTTTTTTTTACATTTTTTTACTTGTTCATTTCCTTTCTATTCTCTCTCCAAAGTATATTTTTCATTAACCACAAAAATACATATATGCATGTGTGATATTAAAAAGAAAAAAATCCACAAAACACCATTGCTGTAGAACTGATTCCAATTCAAGGTGACCTCAAGTGTTACAGAAAAGAACTGTGCTCTACGGGGTTTTTTGGCTATAATCTTTGCAGAAGATCTTCAGGCCTTTTTTCTGCAGAGCTGCTGGGTGGATCTGAACTGCTAACCTTTAGGTTAGTAGTCGAGTGCAAACCATGTGTAACACCCAGGGACCTAGTGTAAAATATAAAATGCCCAATATTATAGTGCAGAGATATGATGGTGGGACAGTGGAATGTGAATAGTAAGTATCTGTCAGTGTAACAGGCTCACTGAAGAGATTGAAAGATCAGTTGGGATCTGGGTCTTGGACTGTACTCCACAATCATGTAGAGACTTTGAAGATCATTAGGCATGCTAGAGCTGTGCTTGGGTTCCATCCATCCTATGGCAGCAGGAGAAAGATAATAAAGTGAGGATACTGGAAAGAGAGATCATTTAAGAGGCTCTTGCTACAGCTTAGAAGACAAGTTACAGTCCTACCACCTTAGGCTTGTGCGGAAGCGTTGCTCTACCAGGCCATTAAGATATTCGGGCTCTTTTCCAGTTGTTCTGTATCCACTAAGGCATTGCACTCATCTGCAAGGTCAAAGCTTAACTGTTGCCACATCTATGATCCAGACAGTGGAAAGGAAAAGAGGGGCCAATGGAGTACAGGTTCAAATTTCTCTGACCAAGACCCACAAGTGGGATACATACCCTCTTCTTCATCATTGGAGTAAATTTTTGTCTATTTTTTATGTATCTATGTATTAAAATATATCTGTAAGTTTATATGTAATGTTTCCGGTCCCCCAAAGACAAATAAAGACCAGGTTTATAAAGATATTGTTAATAAAAAGCAATAATAATGAAACTTAAAAAAAAAAATGAGGTACTCAGCCTACATCAGAATCGATTTAGGACAACCTAATGGTTGTCTCTTCAATGTCAGTCAGCAAATAGAATTTAATATCTTTTATGGAATCACTGGACTATTTAAAGCAAGATCTAAAGTTAAGATTCTTATCCAAGCATTCAGGAAAATAGGCTTAGATTATAAAATGACCAGTCAGTGTGTCAAGAAGAGGCTATATTGGGGTACAGATTCAACTTTAATCTCAATGAAACTGGGCAAGGACACAGATTCCGCCTGTTTCTCCTGTTGCTTTCTGTACTCTTCTCAGTCTCTGATTAATGTTTTGAAATTATATGAGCTAAAGTTTATCTCCACCTTCCTCATGAATGTAAAAATTCTGCTGTCCATTTGGACACAATTTGAAACTTTATTTCCTGACAGCTTATGTCTTACTGCACCAAAGTACCGTGTGCAAGAATAGTTGTGAACTACCTTCTGATGAAGTTGATGAAAAAGTGCTTGAAATAGATCTCCTATTTTTTCAATAATTCAACAATTATTTATTAATGTTCAGTTATGTGAGAGGCCTTTTTTTCTGAAGAGTAATCTTGGGTTTATAAACTTTATTAATACATTTGATAACCTACGGCTGAACTTCAAAGTGGGTGAAGAATCCTTTTGCTCTTCTTCTATCATCCTTTACCTCACTCTTGATCTCTTCCTGATCTCTAAACTGCTAACATTTCATGTAAAAATTCTCTTGTTGACTGTTTCACATTCTTACTGCCTCTGTGGACTGCCATTTAATTGCAGCAACCAAGTAACCTAGGTGGCGCCGTGTCCCTGAGTGGTGCAAATGGTTAAGTGAAAGGTTGGTAGTTCAAACTCACCTAGAGGCTCCTTGGAAGACAGGCCTGAGGATCTGCTTCCAAAAGGTCACAGCCTTGAAAACCCTACAGAGCAGTTCTACTCTGCACACATGTGGTCACCATGAGTCGAAATTAACTCAATGGCAACTAACAACAACAACCAAGTGTCTAATATTTTAGAGTATTACTTGACAAAATTTCTCCTGAAAGAAGAAGCAGCTCAGTTATGAGGAGTTTGTGTGTGTTGCGGGAACTGGCCATGTGTGTAGGGGGATTTGACGGGAAGCAGGGCTTATCCCTGCCCGAGATCCCCTTTACTAGACCACCCAGCTGTGCAGTATGAGGAACGGTCTTCTGCTTGATCCTGATGGGTCTTTGGGGACTGGCTCAGTGGCCAGACTTCTCATTCCAGTGGCTTTGGTTGGGGAAACTGGAAGGCAACCAAGCATTAACTCACAATCCACAAAAGTGCAGAGCTGTGCCCTTAAGATTTAGAGGGATGCAAGAATTGAAGACTGACCACAATGTTAATACCTGATGGCTCATTGGGCAATGTAGAGATTCCACCACTCTGTCAGTGTAGGGTAATTTTAAGGAAGAAATTTATCTGCATATAAAAAGCATGGTTTTATTTCAGGAGAAGGCCCCTGAACTGATAGAACTATGTTAGAAACAAGAGGTGCAAGATTCTGGCATTTTCTTTACTATTTTAAATATCATAATTGCCCTGTGAGCCAAAGTTCCTAAAACTCTCCTTTATTTTGAGAACTTTAGAGAGCAGCTAATATAGTGAGCACATGGTATATTGAGGTCCTATTAGATGGCAGCTCACATATTTATTCAACTAACATATTTTGAACGCCCGGTGTTTATGTCACAGGCTGTGTGCTAGGAGCTAAAGATAAGATGAAGAAGATCAGGTGCCTGAGATCAAGACAGCTGTAAATAGACCATTTCAGTTTTTACAATTATATAAAAAGTGCTGTGGTAGGAACAACATCATGGTGCAGTGGCAGCACAGAGGAGGATACCTTATCTAGTCTTAGGAAGTCAGGGAGTAGGAGACCTTAAGGAGAAACAGAGGTTAGCAAATAAAGGGTACAGAGTAAGGAAGTAGGGGTGTTTTCAGAAGGCTGTATACTGTGTGAAAAGGTCCAGAGTCAAAGGTAACATATCTAGCTTGTGGAATTACAAGGAGTTCAATCCAGCAACAACAAAGTCTAAAGCACTCTACAGCTAGAAGAAATTCCTAAAAAGTTGAGTAGACCCTGAAGACGAATTTTCCTTCTAAGTCACCAACTTTATAAATGCGGAACTGGAACTTAGAGGCCGTTGTAACCAGCAGCTCAGATGACTTTGTATCTGAAAATAAATTAGGAACTAGAATATTAAGGACTCATTGAAAGGCCATGATGAAGCAAGGTTAGGATGCACGTCTTGTGCTTTCCAGTTCCTTTTGTAATGAGCAGCCTCTTGTTGTTGAGTTCTCTTCCGCCACTTCTAGTAGCATTAAACGCTTTTATACTGTCATGAAAAGCTTGCATTTCAAAAATTATTTCATTTTTAATTATAGTAATTGTATTTATTTATTTTAGAGTATGTATTAAATTCATACTACAGAAAATGTAAAAGGCATAGAAGACTATATGATGCAAAGTTATTTTCCCACACTTGACTTCATCTACCTAGGTCCAGGTTCCAGTTATAACCATGGTTCCCATTTTATTGAGTATTTTTCCTGAGTTAGATAATTTCATATATACATATATATGTACATATATATATGCTCATTATTTTCTACATTCAGTGGTAACAACTCTACACATTTTCTACATCATTATTTTTTCATGTTATGATAAATCCTGGAGATTTTCTCATATTAGTACAAATAGAGCCTCCCTTTTCATTTTTAGTGACTATAGAATCTTTCTTTGTAAGTATGTCCCATGATTTTATTACCAGTATATTACACAGGGACTTTAGGGTTGTTTCTATCTCTTGCCGTACTACAATGTTGCAACAAGTACATTGGTATATATGTCATTTTGCACGTAGGTAAATAAATCTATAACATAAATTCCAAAATGTGAACTATGTGGATCAAAGCACTGGACATTTAAGTTTTTGATATACGTTGTTGTTGTTGTTGTTGTGTGCCATGGAGTCAATACCTAGAGGACAGAGTAGAACTGTCCCACAGTGTTTCCTAGGCTGAAATCTCTAGGAAAGCAGATTACCAGGTCTTTACTTCTGTGGAGCCACCAACTTTTGGTTAGCAACCAATTGCTTAACCATATATAAGTGTACCAGTTTGCACTCTCCATAGCAAACATGAGAGATTGCCTGTTTCCCTAAACCCTTGCCAACTCATCGTCCCTTCAAATGTGTTGTTCCATGCCAATCTTAGAGATGAAACACGTACCTCACAGTTTTAATTTGTAGATCTCTTATTTTCAGTGAATCTCAACATCTTTAATTTCTTCTTACGTATTTGCCCATTTTAAAAATGCAGTTTCCTTTTTTTTTGTTGATTTATAAGGGATCTTATTAATTAAAGAATTTATATCTATTTGTGGTATAAATTATATCTGTCATTTTGCTTTGCTTGTGTTTTTCTATGAAGAATGTCTTCTTTGTATGTAGTTGAATTGATCAATCTTTTCATTTATATATTCCTATTTCGTCACACTTAGAAAGGGCCTCCCTATTACAATATTATTTTTTAAAAATACCTCATATTATCTAATTTTACGGTTTAATTTTTCGTATTTACATCTTTGATCCATATGAAATTTATTTTGATAAGTTATCTGTGAGACTACAACTTTTTTTTTGTCAAATGGCTATCTATAGTCCAAATACCATTTAATAAATACTTCATATTCCTTCACTAATGGGAAATGACAAATTTATCATATAGTGAACTTCTTTATGACTTTCCGTTGATTTCTAAACTCTTTAGTTTTTTTTATTGTTGTTTGAGTATTCAGGTGCCAGTATCACTGTGCTATTGTTGGGATTTTCACTGTATGGTTAGAGCTAGTGCTCCACATGTTTATTGTCATTTTTTAGAACTGCACTGGGTATTTTTGCTTGTAGCTTT